AAAACTGCTCCAGCGATCTTCCAGCAGATCATGGACACTATTCTGGCAGATGTTCCTGGTGTTGCTACATACCTTGACGATGTGCTCATTGTCGGCTCAACTGTTGATGAATTGCATACCAGAACCCACTTAGTTCTGCAACGCCTCCAGGATAATGGTTTTCGCCTTCGCCCAGAAAAATGCCAATTCTTCTTACGTTTCGTTAAGTACCTGGGGTTTATCTTTGATGCTTCCGGACGACACCCTGATCCTCAAAATACTTACGCAATCCAACAAATGCCTGCTCCCACTGATGTCTCCTCACTGCGATCATTTTTGGGGATGGTTAGCTACTATTCAGCATTTCTTCCATCACTGCATGACGTACGATATCCATTAAATCGTCTGCTAGAAAAGAATGCTACTTGGCATTGGTCAACGCAGTGTGAGTCAGCCTTTTCAAAACTTAAAGCTATGTTAAGTTCCAATCTTCTGCTAACCCACTACAATCCGAAACTACCCATTGTGGTTGCTGCTGACGCTTCAACACATGGACTGGGTGCCGTAATCTCACATGTCTTTCCCAACGGGTCAGAGAAAGCGGTGATGCACGCTTCGAGAACACTAACACCTGCTGAGAAACGCTACGGCCAGATAGAGAAGGAAGCGTTAGCCCTAATTTTTGCTGTCCGGCGATTCCACAAATTCATTTATGGGCGCCGTTTCACCTTGCTCACAGACCACAAGCCGTTGTTATCAATCTTTGGATCAAAGAAAGGCATTCCTACCCATTCGGCTAATCGTCTTCAACGTTGGGCGTTGGCATTATTGGGGTACGACTTCGACATCCAGTATCGACGTTCCGAAGATTTTGGTCAAGCGGATGCACTGTCCAGACTTATCAGTAACCATTCTACCACTGATGAGGACACACTCATAGCCATAGTATCAACCGAAGAGGATTCCGGTGCTACACTATTGGCGAATGCCGTTCGAGCAATGCCTGTTACCGCTGAAGATGTTCGGGAAGCTACAAGAGAAGATCCGATTATCCAAGAAGCGATCACCTATGTTCAGAGCAGATGGCCAGTTAAACAGCTGAGTGGTGATATGCAACAATTAGCGAATCGTCGCAGCGCTCTCTGTATTGTTAACGATTGTCTGATGTTCGGTGATCGCGTAGTAATTCCAACAACCCTACGTTCCAAAGTCCTACGCCAATTCCACTCTGGACACCCAGGGATAAACCGTATGAAATCCATCGCTCGAAGCTATGCATATTGGCCAAATATGGACAAACAGATTGTCAACTTCGTCAAAAGATGTTCGCATTGCCAAAAAGCTGCGAAAAATCCTCCTAAGTTGCCTCCAGTACCTTGGCCGAAGTCAGAAAAACCCTGGTCGCGAGTGCATATTGACTTCACCGGACCCCTAGATGGTACCACATATCTGATACTGGTTGACTCATACTCCAAATGGCCGGAGATATTGCCGATTGCGCCACCCTCTACAACTCGAACCATCAAACTTCTTAATCAGATCTTCGCTCAGCATGGTCTTCCAGAAACAATAGTAACAGACAATGGTTCGCAATTCACATCTAGCCAATTCCGAGAATTTTGCCTGCAAAATTCGATCAACCATGTTCGTTCTCCGCCATATCACCCGCAATCTAATGGACAAGCTGAAAGGTTCGTTGATACATTTAAACGAGCCATGCTTAAAGCACGAGGGGAGGGGACCACAGAAGATATCATAGAACGATTCCTAGTTGCGTATCGGACGACCCCGCATGACTTATTGCCAAACTCCGAATCCCCTGCTGAGATGCTTATGGGGCGAAAACTACGGACAGTTCATGGTGCGATGAAACCCAAGCAAGTGGCCCAGCAAAGCCCCCAGATGAAGAATACTCGAATTCCCTACGAAGTTGGCACAAAAGTGTATGCGCGAGATTATAGACACGGATGCGATAGATGGGTAGAGGGTGAAATCACACAAAAACATGGGAACGTCATGTATGATGTCAAGGTGAACCAAGAAATCTGGACCAGGCACCACAATCAACTCAGGTCAAGGGAAGCGAAGGAGAAAGAAGCAATTACAAAACGCGTCCCACTCGACGTGCTGTTGGACACGTTTCAACTTCCGCCAATACCTCCAACAGAGACGACTAAGTCATCTACTCAAGTAGAACATCCTTCTGGTTCTGTGTTGTTGCCTCGGAGGTCGGATCGCAAAAGAAGACACCCAAAGAAATTTCAAGTAAACCATCGGTTACGTCGCTATTAACTTTTCCAAAGGGGAGGTGTTGGGATACTCAGAAGAATATCCCAAAAACAATTATCCGGTTAAGTGTAACGCTACCCTTGAACGTTAAATGGTGTCATTTCCCTATTGGTCATTTCCCTACTGATCAATATTTATTTCGCGTGTCATTTTCCTATTGGTCAATATTATTTAACGTGTCATCTTTCTGTTGGTCAATATTTATAGTAATCCTAACTGTATAAATATGCATTTGTTTGTAAATCATTATTCTGCTGCTCCTGACCCCATAAACGATTTTTCATCTACGGTTCGTGTTCTGATATATTGGAGATTGGGAACAGTATTGGGGTCGAACTGGGATATCTGAAGCTTGTCAATTGGTAGAATTTAGAGTAGCCAACTCACGATTCACAATAAAATCTAAGGTGATTAGACACAAAAAATGGCCCATTCAAAACTCCCGATGATGGTTTCGACCATGTTCATCTGGATTTGGTAGGATCCTTATCAAATTCAAATGGATACTTCTGTCTCATAACTTGTGTAGACCGTTTCACTCGATGGCCAGAAGCAGAGCCTATCAAAGGCACTACTACTTAAGCTGTGGCATGCGCCTTCGTTGCACAGTGGGGAGAAAAGTTTGGCTGCCCTTCAATTATCACTACACACCGCGCACGACTGTTCAAATCTGAACTTTTCCGTTATCTGATCATAATAATAAGAATCACACGATTCCTAACGACCGCCTACCACCCACAAGCAAACGAGTTAGTAGAGCATTTTCATCGACAACTTTAAGCTTTACTCTTGGCTGCAAATACTTCACAATGGACCGACATTTAGTCGTTTCACTTGGCATTCGCCATACCGACTTGAGAACACTTCAGCTCAACTCGTTTATGAAAGAACACCCAGACTTCTGGGAGAATTCGTGGATCCTTCATCTTTTCCAAGGAACATGGACCTAAACTCACACGTACAACCTTACAAACTCAATGTGTTCAGTTAAATCTTTTTCCACTCGTTTGACCCACCCTAAGATATAGTGCACATGTCTTTGTACATCGTGACTCATCATAGTGAACTCTCATAGTGGCATACGAAAGATCTTTCAAGGTCTTCTAGCTTGAACCTAATTACTATATCTTCGACAAAAACGTGTCTAGCGACAACATCAGCATTGACCGTCTGAAAGTCGCGCAGTTAAAAGGAAACCCTAATCATGTCAATTTTTCTACAGTGCAATTGAACGACACGAGCCTCACAATTACGACACCCTACAAGATAATTAGCAATCACGAACGAACTTCAGTGGTAACTGACAACCGACCTAAATCAAGAAGAAGGATAAGGTTCCCGGAACACTTGAACGACCTCTGCACGTAGGACGCAACATAACATTTTGTTTTGTCTCTTTTTCTACATCATCGTGTCAAAAAGCCAAAAGGTTTTTCTAGTACGCTCATGTATGCGCTTAACTTTATTATTTACTTCACAAAACTACTCATTGGGCTGAAATCGTTTCCTTGCTATTGTACATTAAGAAAACGCATGTACTGTGGTTTATTCCCGTTATTCGTTTGCGTTATTACGCACGTACAAGTATATTTTGACATGCACCTACAATTCCTCTTTTTCTTTTCCGCGACGCCTGGAAAACATGAGAAACCGACAAAGACTACGATGAATCGAATTTTTCATTGCACTTGTTTTTTATTACTACGTTGTACCAAAAGACACGTATAGTATGGAAAGACAACCAAAATCCGCTGAACATAGCGAGCTATCAGAAGAGTGTTTACCGACAACAACCTCGTTGGGTTAAAAATTCTGGACGGCCGTGTCTAAGGGTCATCACTACCCCACAAATGAGGGTGACTTGTAAGTCTGTAATTCTTGGACGTTTGATGTTGAACAACTTAGCTTTACTTGGCTAACCTAGCTGAAGGCGCTCGGTCATGCATCCGCTCCATATCACGAGTCAAACGTGCTACACCTTCCTTTCAACTATTAGTAAGCTTAGATCAAACTTTTTTGGACATACTGATAGCCTTTCAAATATAACATTGAACCACTTCATTTGTGACTTCTGATTTGACTGGGTTGAAATACTTCTATTAAAAAGTTGTTACTACTAAAAGTGTTGTCAAAATCCGAATACTTGTTTCATTTTTGTTACCATTCAATCATTTCAGTCCTAAATTTTGGTCTAACTTACTTTGGGGGCCCCGAATAAGAAGAAATTTAAGAAAACTGTAATCTCACACACTGCATACCCGTGACATTTTAGGTACTGCGCTAGGTCTTTGCAAGTGTTCTTCAGTTTGTATATAGCTCGCGACAGTACACGGGTATCAGCAGGCCGACAGTTCGATTGGTGAACTCTCGTGGCAGGCTTCATGTCATTCCGAAGTCCAGTTCATCTGCAGAACACTGCAAACCAGTTGTGAACAAACAATAACATATTTAAGACAAATGTTGGGATAAGATGGTGTTTGAAGGTAGTCAACAGGAAACCCTGGACCTGGGCTTTGCGCTACTTGGCACTCATCAGCAAGGTATACCTGTAATCGTAAGGGAACTGGCGTTCCCTTACGGATCCGATCCTGTGTCACCCAGCTTCTCGGTAAGAGACTTTATTACCCAGCCATTCGGGCCACGTTTAACCTACTGTAGGACTGAGATGTATTTACAATCGACTGATCACCACCTGGTAATCACCAGGTGTTAAAATACAACGTTAGAGTTCATTTTAAAGTTATATATTAAAATCATAAAGTAAAGCAAAATAGATTACAGACAATCAACGATCATATGTGTTTTTTTCGTTTGCAATATCTCCCATTTAAACAGCTGACACATCTATGAATTCTGTAAAAATGGATTATAATAATAAACTATGAATAGATCAATTTAGCTTAAAATGTGAATGAACGGAGGAAAGATATCTGGAAACATATTGAAAATTAGGAAAAAAGTTCCACTAAATGCAGTCACCAATATTTATAAAGAATGATGAAAGTTATTTGGTTGATCTGACAATAATTAATATGTGCTCATTGGTGACTGGCTTCAAGATGTTTTTCCTTGAGTTCTTTTGAGTAGACGTCACCAGTGTAGTCAAACCGTGTCTGTTATGAGGAAGTTACCAACTGAAGATAGTTAATAACGGTCGCTCAATATCGTGAATTGGTTGAAGTTAGACATTAGCATCGTTAGACACCAGTTCAGCGGTCTGGAGGCTAAGCGTTCGTGCGCGACATCGAAGTTCTTGGGTTCAAAACCCGCGTGCGGAATCGTAGATGTATACTACTGACGCGTTTCATACTAGGATCAACCGACGTCCAGTGCTCCCAGGTTCACCATGGTGGTATAACATTATTTGATACATGATTTCAATCATTACGTTACGGTAAATTATACGAGCTTTCATTCGGAGAGGAAAATAGTGGAAAAAAAGAAAAATTGAATGAAATAAACGATAATCGAAAATAAATAAATAAATGAATCATGGAAACAGTGCACCTACAGTTCACATCAGGTTCCCCGAACTCATAATCATATTGATCTGAATACAAAGAGAAGAAAGGAATCAGAATTTTCTATAAACAAATAACAGCCATAAATTTGTATTTTATCAAATAAGCCTTAGCGATTGATCAGTTTATTCAGTAGGTACATTCTGTGTGGTGATACATATAACAGTTAAGAATATTCCGCAGTAATGGAGCAATATAACGATATCCAACAAATGATGAAGTGAAGAAGTGAAATAAATATCAGTAAAGTATAACACAATATTCATAACGAATGCGGAAATATCGATTACCATATTTCTTTTTAAATCAATATGCTTCACTAACCACCGGATTATACTACTTCATAAGTTCTAACGGCAAATTATGAATAAAAAACAAGGCTAGAAATCGCAAAGGGGGATAAATGGGAATCGAATATGAACATATATAATTTCAGACAGGCATATTTTGTTGGAACACAATTCGAGCAACACGATGTACTACCCAGAAGCCCTAGGAATAACAACCAATCAGAACATCAACGTGACATGCCACTATTGGACATAACATTCATAACATGCCTCTCTGCAGATCGACTGAATCATGATGTCGATATAGCAAACTCTAATGCCTATACATACCCGTGATTTTCTGTACACTTTGTTTCTTACCCAACAAGCACTTCTCCAGTCTTCTTCTGTCTTCTGATTTGCAACAGTAGGGTTCATGGATCTTATCCCTTTATGATATCAAACAATGTTTACTTAAACGCTGTTCATATTAGAAATTTAGTTACTTGTTGTGGGAAATTGGAGAAAGTCACGTCTACAGTTTATCAGTTTTAACAATTGCGTTCGATGTGTCATAAACACGGCGAAAACACTGAAGTCAAATGCATTTGTTTGATAACAAGATCTGTAGAATTATTGATTTGCGTGAAACGACGAACAAGTACTAATTCATTGATTGTGAAAACAAAGAGTATGGCGATGGAAAATAACAATAAGATGAAACTAAATGTCTAGTTCTCTGAAGAGCATATACTCGCGTATATATATGCAGATTGATAGTGTTGTCGACTGATATATAAGTGGAAGAATGTAGGCGTATTAAATAGGCTGGACTTACCTTCTGCAGTAGTCGTTTTCTCAGTGGTTTCTCCCTCTTTGGTCGTTTGTTCAGGAGTCGACTCTGTTGTGTTCAGTTGTTCATTGGCCGTCTCTTCTTTCACACTTTTTTCATCGTTTGTATTCTCAGTAGTCATTTCATCTGTATTTGTATGTTCAGTGGCTGCCTGATCAGACAGCATTTGTTTTGTGATAACTTGTTCACTAGTTTGCACTACGGTTGCATTTCCAGCCAATTTATTAAAAACAATATCAATTTAAGTTTATTGATAATGCAATTTGATCTACAAAACCAAATTCTTAGTAATAAAATAATGTTGCGCACTCGAGATAATCAGCTGAATCATCCACTCGAGTAAACGTCAGACACATCAACGACACACGCACAAGAATACTGACGCACATGACCTGTACCAGGAAGTCGGTGAACAAAATGGTATGCTGTCACAAATCAGTCATCAGGCTACAAGTGAATCCAGGGAAGAAATCCCATTCCACGAATGTGTTGGGACGGCTTCCGAGCAACACGATGGAGTACCCAGAGGCTCTAAGATTTACATCCAATCAGAACATCAACGTGACATTCCACTATTAAACATAACGTTCATAACACGCCTCTCTGCAGATCGACTGAATCATGATGTCGATATAACAAACTCTAATGTGTTATAACGTGAAAAAAATGCTTCTGATTAGATGGGTAGCGAATTATTGATCGGACCAGAGACGCGCAAACACGTAGAACGACCTAGGGTTCTGATTGATCCCGCTTCCCTGTCTAGCCCAGCCGGTTGAGTCCAGAACACAAGTTTCAGCCTCGGATATATGAATCATTATATTACAAACATACTTTGTTTATATACCAGTCAAGCAGTCCATAACGTACCATAAATAGAAAATAACATTGTACAATAATGGCCAGTAGGAAAATGACACGTTAAACAAATATTGACCAATAAGATGATACCATTTCATGTCCAAGGATAGCATTAGGCTTAACAGGATAATTTTGGTTATATTTTCCTGAATATCCCAACAAATGCCTATACATACCCGTGATTTTCTGTACACTTCGATTCTTACCCAACAAGCACTACTCCAGTCTTCTTTTGTCTTCTGATTTGTGACGGTAGGATTCATGGATCTAATCCTACATAAAGAACATTGTTGTGCTAAATTTCATCATACGGGTCATAATGAAACCAGCTTTTCAAAGAGAACCCGCCGGCGTCATTCTTCAAAACCCTTTCTTCAATAAATACAGACCTGTTGTGATAACTGACAAAATATTGGCATCTCATAACAGAGCACGAATGTACTGCCTAAGAAAGTATGTAGCCTTAGATAATGATAAACAACGTGCTTGTCTTCAACTTGGTACTGCACCTGATTTTACTCTGACCAGCCTAGAAACTCGGGGGAATATTGAGGGACCCACGGTTTATCCAATAACACAACTAGCACACAGTGCATCTGGTGAGAAGACAAATATTGTTGGAGCAGTACCTTGCACCGTTTCTAAAGGTCACGTGACAACGAATGCAACGATATATGTTACAAAGAATCCAGCACTCGGATTTTTGGGGTTAGATTGGATAGAGGCACTAAAACTAACCGAGCATTCGATTAACAACATATGCAGCCGAATCAGAACTGATAACGTTCAGAGTGAGACCAGAAGAATGCCGTGCTACAAAAACACCATCATGTGTTGACAGAAGGATTGGGAGAACGTATGAAAGCCAAGGCATTACAAAACGTCAAACCTGAAGCTACTCAAGTTTTTCGACCTAACAGACCTCTGCCTCATGCTGCCCTTCCGGTAGTTGAGCAGAGATTAGAACGGTTTCAGAAAATGGGTATTATTGAACCTGTAAACTTCTGACATTAGGCAGCACCAATAGTGGTGGTCAAGGATTTTAATTGAAGCGTTCGTCCATGTGCAGATTACTCCACCGGAGTAAGTGAAGCTCAAGAGTCTCACCAGTATACTTCAACCCTACCAAAAGAACTCTTCGCCAAGGTAATGATTGTCAGGTATTTTGCGAAACTGGATTTACTAAACGCACATTTACAAATTTCTGTATCTGATGAAAGTGAAGATTTCCTAACGATCAACAAGCACAAGAGTCTGTTCCTATATAACCGACTACCTTTTGGAGTGAAGACGGCGCCCCCTAATTTCCGGTAAATTATGGATATCATGTTACACGTTTTTCCAGGGGTGGCAGCTTATTTAGACTATGTCATCATCATGGGAACAAATAGAATGAACCTGCAGAAGAAACCGGACCAGGTGCTGGAGCACATAGCCAGATATGGTTTTCGCCTCTGCGCGGAAAAGTGCGACTTGTATGCGCAGCAGTTACGGTTTCTCGGTTTGATAAAAGATAAAGATAGAAGACACCTGGATCCAGAGACCATTGAAGCTGTAAAAACCACGCCTAGACCCAGGGAAATCCTCAATCTACCATACTTCTTGAAATTGGCCAGTCATTATGACACCTTCATCCCTGATGTTCATCGTCTGCGTGTCTCACTAGACCGACTGCTAAAGAACAATACAAAACGGGATTGGTCGGCAAAATGTCAAGCATCTTTCGAGAAAATCAAGCAACTCCTAGCTTCCATCAGGATCCTTCTCTACCAATTGTGGTTGCTTCAGATGCTTCGAACTATGTTATCGAAGCAGTGATTCCTCAAGTTTTCTTTGATGGGTCCGAAAAAGAAATCTTCCGTGCTACCAGATTATTGACAACGACAAGGTAGAACTATAGTCATATCGAGAAAGAGGCTCTATCGATTATCCCTGCAGCAAACTACTCCACAAGATAATATTTGGTCGGCCATCACTTGACGTACTTGGGTCGAAGGAAGGCACTAATGTTCACACAGCTAGCCGGCTACAACTATGGGGAACAACACTCCTGGATTACGATTTCGCCGATTCCCGGCATGCTGACGCGTTATCAAGATTAATAGGTTCACAGTCAAAAACGCCAGAAGACACTCTCGTGGCAAATACAAAGGCTGAGAAAGAAGTTCGTCGTGTATTGGGTGACGCAATCGACGAACTTCCGGTTACCTTCGAAGCTATCGAGAAAACCACCACATTGAACAGAATCAAGTGCTATCATTCGACTAAGTGGCCAAACAATCGTCTGGAAGGAGAGCGATTGCAATGTTTTCGTCGATCCTAAGATTTACATCCAATCAGAACATCAACGTGACATGCCACTATTGGACATAACATTCATAACATGCCTCTCTGCAGATCGACTGAATCATGATGTCGATATAGCAAACTCTAATGCCTATACATACCCGTGATTTTCTGTACACTTTGTTTCTTACCCAACAAGCACTTCTCCAGTCTTCTTCTGTCTTCTGATTTGCAACAGTAGGGTTCATGGATCTTATCCCTTTATGATATCAAACAATGTTTACTTAAACGCTGTTCATATTAGAAATTTAGTTACTTGTTGTGGGAAATTGGAGAAAGTCACGTCTACAGTTTATCAGTTTTAACAATTGCGTTCGATGTGTCATAAACACGGCGAAAACACTGAAGTCAAATGCATTTGTTTGATAACAAGATCTGTAGAATTATTGATTTGCGTGAAACGACGAACAAGTACTAATTCATTGATTGTGAAAACAAAGAGTATGGCGATGGAAAATAACAATAAGATGAAACTAAATGTCTAGTTCTCTGAAGAGCATATACTCGCGTATATATATGCAGATTGATAGTGTTGTCGACTGATATATAAGTGGAAGAATGTAGGCGTATTAAATAGGCTGGACTTACCTTCTGCAGTAGTCGTTTTCTCAGTGGTTTCTCCCTCTTTGGTCGTTTGTTCAGGAGTCGACTCTGTTGTGTTCAGTTGTTCATTGGCCGTCTCTTCTTTCACACTTTTTTCATCGTTTGTATTCTCAGTAGTCATTTCATCTGTATTTGTATGTTCAGTGGCTGCCTGATCAGACAGCATTTGTTTTGTGATAACTTGTTCACTAGTTTGCACTACGGTTGCATTTCCAGCCAATATATTAAAAACAATATCGATTTAAATACATTAATGATGCAATTTTTTTAATGTTTTGAAATGAACTTTGTTGCTTCTATTAAATTTGAAAGCTCATCTTTGCTAATCACATTCATACATTGTACATTAAACATTCCAGCCTCATTCTTCCTCTAATTTGTTCCAGTTCTTTCATGTTTGCTTTATATTATTCATTTCAAGTTAACGAAACCCGTCAATTAATTGTGATAATGATTTGCAACTTATTTATCTTACTGATCATTTCTTTACTTTCTACCTACATCATGTTCCTTCCTCCAAATCATTGACTTCATCATATTCCGTCATGTTATTTGACTTTCCTCATCAAATATTTCTTTTATATGTACGAGAAAAATTAATAGTATCCGATAGGATCGTGTAGGCCGAGATTGGCGTTCTGAACATCTTTATACAGGGCTAGGCATTTAAAGGACCTGTAAGATCTATAAGCTGCCTATACACGTTACTGCGTCATTTGTCCGACCGAGATGTGTTTGTTCTTTAGTCGTCAATCGTATCGTAATAAATTATTATCGGGTGACAAGTTATAAGAGACACATAAATATACATCATCAATTTTTTATTCTCACCTATTTTGTAGCATTTTCTGTGGTAGACTAAAGGTTCCGCTACAAATTCAACAAGAAAATACCCATGGAATTATATTACATTCATGATAAGTTTGTATGTTGTTTCATGAAACAAGAAAATATCAAAAAGATATTGATTTTGTATCACTTACATTCTGGTAATTTGAACGCTGTAGTAGAATGAATTTTTGCCGTAGGTATACAAAATGAAGAACAAGAAGAAAGGAAAATATTCATAACCAAATTATGGTAGAACATACGTCATTATTAACTGAACTGACGTCAAAGACTCAATTCATGCCTCTGTATATATGTTTTATGATAATTCGTACGATATTTAGATTACATAACAATCTAGATCATTCTAAAGATAGAGTATCTACACAGAAGTCGTTCTAACGATGATATCTAAATTGTTTTATGTTTTTGTTATTATTGAATTAGCAGAAGTCTTTGCATCAGTAGGCCTCAACGTACACAAGGGGAAAACCAAGGTCTTCAAATACAACACGGAGAACAGCAATATAATCACTCTTGATGGCGAAACTGTGGAAGATGTAGAATCCTTCACATACCTGGGAAGCATCATCGATGAAAAAGGAGGTTCAGATGCAGACGTAAAAATGAAGATTGGCAAAGCAAGGGCCGCATTCATACAATTGAAGAACATATGGAACTCAAAACAACTTTCAACCAATATCAAAGTGAGAATCTTCAATACCAACGTCAAGGCAGTTCTACTGTATGGAGCTGAAACGTGGAGAACCACTACAACCACCATCAAAAAGGTACAAGTATTTATAAATGGTTTTCTATGCAAGATACTCAACATCCAATGGCCGGATACCATCAGCAACAGCCTTCTGTGGGAGCGAACAAACCAGCTTCCAGCTAGTTACGCAAATCATCGAACTGCATCACGAGGCAAGCCCTTACTTGGAATTCTGAAGGAAGGCGGAAAAGAGGAAGGCCAAAGAACACATTACGTCGGTAAATAGAAGCAGATATGAAAAGGATGAATAAAAACTGGAAGGAGGTGGAAAGGATTACCCAGGACAGTGTTGGATGGAGAATGCTGGTGAGCGGCCTATGTTCTTTCACGAGGAGTAACAGGCGTAAGCAAGCAAGTAAGTATTACTGAATTGATTAAGATTCTTAAGAAGTTCGGAGGACTACCTTCAGTCTTCGTATGATGTATTCCGTATATTGAACTGATTCCGTTTTGTGAATTTTAATTTAGTTGTAACATTTTCATCTTAAAAGTATTCATTCTGTTCACTATACTCTTTCTTACTTTGTGTATTGATTGGTGGCAAAATACTGATAACGAAGTTTTGTTGGAGATGTTCACACATCACACTGGCTTAGAACATGTTGGAAATCATCTGTTATCATTAAACAGTAAGATAACATCCCAACCACCTCACTGCAAATAACTCCCCCAGATTCCTTCCTAAGGCTACTGTCGGTCCCATACCTGAATAAAGGAGGGGGGTTGGGCATGAGGTTAGCGACCACATCCTTTAGAAAACTAACTTGCTCAAAAGCGCTAACCTGAAAAAATAATTCAAACCATCTTAATTCCACCCTGAGAGTTAGAAGGTCTTCATCTTGGATGCTTCATGGTGAAAGCCGATTTCCTTTGGAAGTCACGAGGCTGATACCCCTTCCGACAATCAAAGTAACCATTAATTTAAGTAGATTGGATGCTCTTACAATGTGGGAGGCCAGGAGAGTCATCCAAATTGCTACATGTCACTTCAGATGGACGTATACGAAGAAAAAACAGATTAAAATAAACTGTTGGATAGAGAAAGCAATCTGTTAACATATTTATGGAATTTGCTAACATATGACTGCTATGACTTTCAGAGTATTAAACAGCAAGAATCCAGTATTACTATCATCAATCATACATATATGAGCTTTAGATGATCATAATATTAAAGGCATGGATGGGTCCAATTGATTAATAAATTCAAGTTCAGAGGGATAAGAGAAAATGTTTACTAAATCTTTCACTTACAATGATCATCAGAATGAACGAGAACTATGAACACAATGGTAATGATGAACAGTAACCAAACATTAATCACCTTCATTTTGGTAAACGAAATGGCACTGGACTAAACACAATGAAAACCATCTCTTATTAGAAATTTATATATTACTGTTGAAGAAACTGATATCGATCAAAAATATCTGAGTATAACTAATGAAACCAGTAGACGATGGAATGCAAATGAGTAAGCTGATAAGCAACCAATAGTATTCAGTTAATGATAATAGGGTGTGGTTTAAGTATGATTATAACTGGTTGTGAAGAAGGAATTGTCTATATCTTTCAGTTAATGTTGAAAACGTGTCATTTACCAGTTTACTTTATGATAAGTACAACATAAACAATCATTGATAGCTTTAAAACAACACACTGAATTCCATTTGTTAATTAGAACCATATAGTGAATTCAATGTCACATTGAGTATAATTCATTTGGAATCACTCACTCAGTGAATATGAGTTCAAGGTTACTGGCGAAGAATATCAGGATTGAACTATATAGTACTTTAATCAAGAGAATGTGTTCTGGCTGAAATTATTAGTTCACACACACGTACCCATACATACACACAGAATCAGTGTAGTGTATTGCATGACTGAAAATGTGAAATGAATAAAATACGTTGCCAAACGTCTTTTGTTCATCCGCTAGTTGTTTCTGACATTGGAAATTGGCGGAATGCTAGGAATTCCTAGTATCAAGATGGAGCCTGTGTTTGAACAGTTGGATATATATTCAAATTCTGAACCTTTTGAAGAAGGTCTAAAATGTGTAGTATGTCTAGGAAAGATTTCAAGGATGATAAAATTGTCACTCATTTCCTCATATTCATTGGAAACGAAGCCTACAGCTTATTAACAACTTAAGCATTCGTAGACAAGCCTATTTCACTTACGTATGTAACTCTCAAACAACTACTGTGAAATCATGAAGAGTGTACTAGCTTTGAAAGTCGCGAAAGACAAACTTTTAAAAAAATGCTTCGTTAGAATAACCGAAAGGTTGGAGAATTTTAATGTTAGTAAACATTAACGATTCCTTTGTACGTGTTGACTGTTTGGTTTCGAATACCAAATACAAGACGATCATTCGTGCTCATCTAGTAATTTTTGATTAAATTAAGTTATTTCTGGAATTCCCAATTCGTTCTGTAATTCAAATACTCCTCATTATCATACTGGCGTCGTGATGGAGCCTGTAATCAAACAATTGGACATTCATTTAACTTCTGAAGCTTTTGAGGTTTATTTGAACAGGTTTGAAATTTGGAGCGTGACCAAGGAAGATCTGCAGTGTGATAAAATAGTAGCTAAGTCTCTTACATTCATCTGAAAAGTCTACAGATTATTAAAAACTTCAGCATTACCAGATAAGCCGATCTCAGTTCCTTATGCAACTCTTAATGAACTACTATTAAATTATGTGAAGTGCATCAGGTTTGGATGTTGTGAAAGAGCAGACGTTCATAATATGATTCGCCAGAATAACCAGAACGTTGGAGAATGTATAATTGAATTGCAAAACAAGCTGCCGAATGCAATTTTGGTGATAAACTCCATATCCATCTATGGGATCGATCGATCGATTGATTGGTTGTCTGAAGGGATAAACATGCCTGATCTGGAAGGATAGCCCATGCAAGTATCGAAGTGTTCCTTTATTAATGCTATAAATGCGTATATTAATTATGAGACAGTACGTGAAATTGACTTTTAGGACATCAAGAACTCCAATAAACTACTTAATTATCCCAATTCAATACATACTCAAGATCATGCAGATCACATTTCATCGAGGAATTGCGAAGCAGGCCACTAAGATAAGTACAAGTTCGGTAAATGTTTGTCCTGAGGTCAATTTTACTCATGTGATGCGTGTGTACTTCGTAATGGTACATGTTTTAAATGTGGTTTGATTGGACACATCCAATCAGTTTGTGAAACTACTGTACATTATTTCACTGCGAGTAATACTTAACTCTGTCATTCACGTGCAGTTAGTTCGGGCAATTCTGATGATTATATATTATCCTTATTTACAACTTCAAATAGTCCTCTTCATATTGAAAAATTGATGGCGTTCTCGTAACTTTTAGGTTGCCGAACCTTCTAAGGGCGATGAGACAATGTATAATGCCATTGTTGTGTGCTAGGTACAAAGAGAATTGTACGGTGTATGCATGCAAACCCGCCCCGTTATTGTTCATAATCAAAAACGATTGTATCTGCCGAGTGGTGCTTTACACGATTTTATTGCTTACACTGACAGCATTAAGTCAATGATTTCCCATGGGAACTTAAAGTAGTTATATTCTGATGTTATAATTATCCCTACCAATGTTTCATTTCCAACATTGCTGATCATAAACTTTTTATTTATGGATATTGTAATTTGTGAATCAGTTTGGTATTTGTATGAACTAATGATTCCTTTGTGCTTCATGACTGCCTCATTTTGAATTCCGAATACAAAATGTTTGTTTGTGATTATCTATTATTTCTTAGTATTTACATTATTTCTGGGGTTAATAATTTGTATTGTAATCCAAATACTCCTGATTATCACAATCAGAAATGATAAACCTTCAATTGTCAATTGTGGATTTCTCATCACTGAGTGTGGAGTGTCTATTCTGGGTCTGGAAAACCTAAGATTGCTTCAGGGAGAGCTTTCCTTATTCAACACTGGAAATGGTTCTAATGAAAAGCTCGATAAATTGCTAGCTATGGAATCACAGTGTGAAAAAATTACTCCCGACTCCAACACACCATCATTCTCACGTGTATGCAAGAGATTTCAAAGTCTTGAAAACAACCGTTAATTCTGCTACTGCTGCAAAGTTAATACGCCCGGACTGGAGAGCGAATGAACTTGATTCAAGCCGTAGTTAAATGTTTAACTCCCATTATTTTGCTAATGGGTAAATTGTCCATAGTTAAGGATATGGGTAGCTTTCGATATGTCAATACCTATTCAAACTTTTTCAAGGATTAACGACAATCGTCCAACTTCCCACTATGATCACTAATTGTTTGGTGCAAAAGGAACCACTTATAAATCAGTAGTGTCATTATACAAGGAAATGTTTCAAAACTACATGTCAATTTGACCACGATTTGTCAGAGATCTCACAATTTTGGAGAACATTTATTTAAACCTCACCGCACTGTATTACGCCTTTGTACAGAGAGCGTGATAATTATGTGCTTAAGATTGTTGCTAAGTGTAAGACTGCTTCTCCCAGCCGGATGTCCTTTGAGTTTGAATAGATTCATTCGTCTTAAGATGGTAATACTGTTTAAATCAGAATATATCGCGCTACCAATTAATCGCCTGAGTGGTTGTAGCATGAAGATTTCACCTATGATATGCTCAAAATTGTTGAAAGAGAAAGTATTCAACAGGAAACCTCAACTAAAATAATAAAAGAATTAGCGTAACACCGTAAAGTTTTTCTTGTTGTTATGAATGGATGTGACGATTTAAAGAATCGCTCCTGTTTGCATGTGATGTAACGTCAGTGTTTTTTATCATTCTGAACAGAAATTAACTTCCTCATCCATACATTTATATGTCCCATGTTTGAGTTTTGATTTAAGATAAGGTCATAGTTTATATTTGCTTACGGTTGTTTGTTCAGCGTGATTGTGTGATTCTAAGATCTGTATAAGCTATGAACCGATTTAAGTTTGCTGATAGACTAAAAGATCTAGTCTACTGTAGTTGATTCATCATGGCCTAAACTACATGATCTTAATTCAAAGTCACAACACCATCTGTACTGACTCACCCTATCGTTGTAGTACAAGGTACAGTGTTTTAAGAACCACTTGGGAAGAGATATCAACTCACAGACAATAATATATTTGATACAAAAATAGAATAGTTACAGTGACACTATTGTACGACCGAGCTGGTCAGTCTCACTAATCTGCACACATTGTCACTTTAACCGTCCCTTCTCATCAACTAATTCACGTCCAGTGCTCTACGACCTAAAATGCAAACGATTCATCTTGATAAATCATCTGTAATGAGGGTTTAGTGTTATTCCACAGTCACTACAGTATTACTTCTGTTTTCAGTATCTTCTTGCTGTATGAGAGTTTGCATTACTTCAGCCAAAATAAAAAGCACATTACTGAAGAGTTCGGCTTAGAAGAAACTACTGAAATTTCAATATTTCTGATTTCCACAAACATGTATAATTAGATTAGTGTCTTCGATTAAATCCTCACCAAACTTTAGTAACTAGTAGTATTTATATGGACATATAGATCAACAATGCTTGCGTTGGTTATAATCTGGTTGTATGAGGATGATATGATTTAGCTTACGTGGAAATCACATCATGTGGTTAATACCTAGCCTGGCCTACCTTAAGGTGTTAACTAGGGAAGGCGAATTCTCGACTAGGACGAATGGAATATTACTAAATTAACATTATATGCTAGAGAGAATAAATTAAAGAAGTACAACTAAACAACATTGCTGGATGTCTCGGTCCATGCTACTGAATTGTTTAATCAGCATTAATCATCTTCGAGCATGACGGTGTTCTGTAAGTTGAGTTGTTTAATGTTCAGCGCTGTTGTTTAACATAATAACTACTCAGCTTGATGAGTGATTTGTGGCAAAGGCTCAGTATTTCTCCTCTATTACTAAACATGAATGGAAATATCAAACCATTCAGGGCAACTTATGAGAAGAATGATAACAATGAAAAAGGACTGTATAACTAACCATGATAAGTGAAATGTACAAACTGATAGTAAATTGTTAGTAAAGTAGTAAATAATAGGCGACATAATGTGCATGAACAGACATGTCAACAACAGTACAAGAAGACTACGTGCCAGTTAACCGATAAAATCCACCGTAGGCCAAATATCAGAAGACAGTTGATGGCCGTAGTCGAGATGTATTCGTTGGCGATCTCGTGGTATTGAAAGGGTGCCGAAATCGTGCCAAAAGAGTACAAGCGTGGTTACCGAGCGTAACCGAACCCGTGCAAGGTCACAATCAATGGAAGGATAAAAGAGCAGTAATA